ATATATCCTCTACTATGTGTATCAACATATCATTTCTATTTTTTCTCAGTATTTCTTTTATTATAATGTTTTGGGAACATAAATGATATACTTTCCACAATTTATATATCTTCTCCTTGCCCATACGCATAATAATGAAAGAGATGAGGATAATCTTAACTTATTTTTGGGGGAGGAGAGGGAGGAATACAATATCAGCGATGAAAGACTTTTAATAAGCAATCCACATAAAGAAAGGAAAAAAAAAAAAAAGGGAAACAATAAGCTCCAAAAGATTGAAAACGAATACCTCTCAAGCTCCAAAAGATACAATATATCATTCCCCTCATAGAGTACACAAATTACACTACATAGTACAAGTAACCATTGCAAATACTAAGCTAACAAAAGTTTCCAAGTTATGCCAATGAATAGCCGTACCAATTATCTCTCTTGCTCTTGTTGGATACAAAGTCACAACAAATTGATTATACAGCAGTGAAGCAAATTAGTGTCCTTTGCACGCTGCATCAACCAAATAATTTGTATAAACACGGTTAGTATAATGTATAACCATACGTATCATATATGCACGCGCACATTATACACATATGTTACTATTAGCGCACCTCAAAAAGCTTCAAGCTTATCCTAGAGTTTTAGTTGAACTTGAGGGAGCAGCATATCTAGCCGAGAACCTACGACGTGAATTAGGTTCTTCCTCGTCGTCCATGCAACCCTCGTCGAAGTTTTGAGCATAGCTTAAAGGGTCATACCCAAAACCACCAACAGGTTTGTAACTGCTTGTTCTTTTTGTCCAAGGAAGCTTCAATTTGAGACACCCCCAACACGAAAGCAAGCCTGTTCTAGGAGATGATGAACTTTTCTGACCCATGACTTCGAGAGTGCTTCATGGAACGAAATAAGTACGAAAATCAGTACCAAAGGCTTTTATGATCGATGCCTTTGTTATTCACTACTTTTCTCTATTGCTAGTGATTTTGAGTGGGTGGTAGAGAATAATATAATTCACCAAATCTAATGGCTCAGCAGAGTTATAAAGACGATGGTTCACATTGCACTGAATTTAATACTTTTAAACAAAGTCATGGAGTTGAATATTGAGCATGAAAAAAAAATGATTGAAAGATGAAATTTATTAGAAGTGACATTCAGTTTTTTTGATAGAGATTGATAAGTATAAAAAAAAAATGAAATAAGTTATAACGCCTTTGGGGGTTGAAATTAAAGTTGGAGAATATAAAAATTTGTCGTTTTGGATTGATTAGTTGTATGTAAAGAGAATCTAATGGTACAGTAAGGTTTTTCGTTCAGGGAGTAAAACACGGTAGGGCCCGGACAGTTTTGCTCATGAATCAGGGAGTGAAAAAATAGTGGACCTGAAACAGATAATTTTCCTCATTCAATCATAGGTTAATAATAGAGGACTGAGGATAGTAAATAGTTCCAACAAAAAGGGTACATTATATTCTACATGGATAGTTGTTATATTAAGTGTGATGATTGTTGAAATTATAGATCCAATCCAGCGTGGGGCAAGGATCTAGAGTAGGTTTGGGGAGAGAATATTTGCAGGAGACATAACTTGTCCCTTAATCCTAGTGGGCATGCAGAATTGTGACGTTTACGAAATTATCTTGTGTATGACATTTCCTTTTTTTCAGTCCTGTGGGATAGTGAACGATTCATTAGTCCCACTATTTCAATCTGTGGCCCAGTTATCCTGGACGGTAAGCTGGGACTGTTTCTACTATTCAAAGATCCACGCCTAATATTTAAATAAATAAATAAAATAAAAAAATAATAAAAAAAGAACTTAGATGGTTATGGTTATTGTTCAGCAAGTAGCATAAAATACAAAATAATTTATGTTATGCTTGCTTGTTGAAGCTTGTACCAAGTAATTTAAGTTGCTGATGCAAATAGGTCAATTTTATCTCAATGAAAACATATTGAGCTCCAAGTGTTTATTTGTATAGAACTAGGCAGCTAAGTTTCCCTTTTAACAAATTTTTATTTCCATCTGCACAACAATGTTTGGATTGATTGAAAGGGATTGATTGAAAGGGATAGAATGAAGTGGATCTGAAACCGAATGCTACTAAGTTCCATTGTTAGCATTGTTTAAAATAATATGGAATAAATTAGATCGTGATCAAATGCATTTGTTTCATTTAAACCTCACAATCTGCTCTCCCACAAAATTAAAAATCTATAATCTAGACCAAGTGGCCACAAAAATAGGGGGACGACAAAATCCAAGTGCATAAATGGCAAGAGCCATTTAGTAGTGCTATGTAAAAATGCATTGTATCCTACATATCGATTGCTTTACAGAAATATCAAACAAATGATTATATTGGAATTTTGGTTCTTGATAAATCTGAAAAGGGATCAACCAAGCTATGTAACCAATAACCGACCCAGCCTAAAGGCATAAAATTTAGCTGTTTTCTTCCTCATCATTTTCAATCAAACTTTTCTTTACAAGTCCTTTGGAGTACAATTCATTCAACAACTTCGAAGCCTCCTCAGGTAATCCTTCACAAGTAATGCCATTTACAAGAACAGTATAGGTAGCCTCAGTAGGTTTACATCCGTTTGCGACCATATAAGCAAGAAAATCAATGGCACGACTGGTTTGCTGAGTTTTACACAGTCCCATCATTATTGAGTTATAAGTGTATGCATTGGGTCTAACACCAAACCCCTCCATGTAATGGAAAATTTTTATTGCTTCATGAACCTTCCCATTACGACTTAGGCCCCCTACTACTGAAGTGAAAGTAATTAAATTAGGCTTCAGACCTTTACTGCAGGCCTCTTCCAAGAGTTCTAGAGCAAGTTCGGTTTTTCCCACCTTTAAAAGCCCATCAATAATTATACTGTAGGTAATTATATCAGGTTCAAGACCTTTTCTGCACATCTCTTCAAAGAGTTCTAGAGCACGCTCTGTTTTTCCATCCTTCAAAAGCCCATCAATCACTGTATTGTAAGTAATTAGAACAGGAGAGCACCCCTTGAAACTTAGTTGGTTCAGAATCTCAACTGCATCATCCACCTTCCCATCTTTGCATAATGCAGTTAGCAAAATATTATAGGTTACTATATCTGGGTAACAACCCCTAGATACCATAATTTCCAAGTATTCAATTGCTCTATCAACACTATTTTTGTTACAAAACCGTTGAATCAATGGATTGTAACTTCTGGAATTAGGAGTACAACCATGCTTTGGCATCATCTCCAAGAGATTATGGGCTTTATCTAGTAAGTTTTTCTGGCAAAAGAAGTTGATCAAGATATTGAAAGTAACAACACTGGGAGAACACCCCTTACGAAGCATGCTAGCCAATAGTTTCATAGCATCCATCCATCTTCCACCACTACACAAGCTACGCAAGATAATATTATGGGAAATCACATCAGGTTGACAACCATAGGATGGCAGTTTCTTTAAAAATCTAATTGCTTCATCCAACCTACCTTCTCTGCAAATCCCTTTTATAATAACATTATATGTAACCACATTAGGTTCGCATCCTTTGCACCTCATCTCAATCAACAGCTTCATTGCCTGACGAACTCCATTCTCTTTACAAGCTGCATCAATTGATTCGGTGAATGTAATTACATCTGGATAACACTTACTTTGCAGCTGTCTGTCAGGTACTTTCATGGCTTGCTTCAATTTCCCTCTATCACAAAAGCTACGCAAAATTGTATCATAAGTAATAGCATTTGGAGCAACAGACATGCGATCCAAAACCCACAAGGCTTCCTCTATCTCCCCTGATTTGCAATAACCACGGATCAAAACATTATAAATTGTCACATCAATAACTGCTCCAGACTCCTCCAGAATTTCCATGATTCGAGTTGCATTCTTAGTCCTGCCATTCTTGCAAAACTCATGGATTAAAGCAGTGCAAGCAATGACATCAGGAATACTGCCTTTGTTAATCATATACTCAATAAACTTGGAACCTTCCTCCAATTCCCCATTTTTAATCAACAAGCGGAGATGATGAATCTCAGACTCCCCAAAATCCAGCGAAGTATTGACCCCATTTAAAGAACCTTTCTGGAATCTTTCAAAATGTTGCGGTTGCAGATTACCTTTCAAACCAGAATTTTCATATTTTGAAACAGCAAACAAGCAATTGCCCAAATGCTTTCTTGACCAAGTGCCCTTAGGTTTTCTAAAATCGATAGCTCTTATATCACCAAACAGGCCAAATAAATGAGATTTGCAGGCCATATTATACTCTCACCAAAGGGAATGCAGAACCAGTGTTATAGCTTTCACGGTGGAAGCATTTATATGAGCAAAATTGTTTATGTTATAGCACCAAGTCCACTGCTTCACCAACTTTCAACACTTCCTACACAAACTTTCATCTCATGGGGCAAAACTCATTTTCACCAACTCTCATATCCTAAAAGGCCAAAATCACACATTACATAAGTGCACAAGTCAACAATTTTGCTACATAAGTACTCAAAAGACAATAGGTTTAAGAGTCTATTTACATACACACTTAGAAGTACCGGAAAGAAAATTCTTTATTTTCCGTAAAAAATCTCAAAAGCTTTTCTAACCTCATATCCCAACATACTTTACATTAAAAAAAAATTAAAAATAGAGCACCTCAAGACAACACCAACAGCAAACCATCACATAATTACTTCACAGGTCATTCATCAAATCTGAAAATCTAACCGTAAACAAAGTACAAAGCTACAAATGAAAGTAAAAAAGAATCACAAAGTTATGTAGAGAAATCCCAATTCATGATTATCTAGAGGAAAAACACCAACTCTCATTATGCCCTCATCGTAAACTTCCCATCAACAAAATCACACTCGTGCCAATAAAATCTCTAAGCCTTCTCTAATCACTTAAAAATAAAATAAAAGGAAAATGAGAAAGAGAAAAAAAAAAGTGAGAGAAAAATAGCTTCGTGAAGAAAAAAAGGCGAGCTCGGCGTTGTGGTTGCAAACAGAGAAAGCGAGAGAGAGTTAAATGAAAGGTGGAGGGGCGGAGTTTTACCGGCGAGTGGGTGAACTCTACGGCAAGTGCGCAACGAAGGTATCTGTGGCGACGGTGTCAGGTGGTTGTGTGGCAAACTTTTCGGTAGTTAGGCAAGGGTGCGTGTAATGGCCCGGTGTTTACCAAGAAAAACATCGGTAATTATCCCATTTTTTTATTAAAAAAATGTATAATTATCCCATTTAGACGTAGAAAGAAAAAAAAATTAATTTAAAAATTGATACTAAATATACACAATATTTTGTAAAAAAAATGTAATAAATTTCTAGTTTAATCATCATTATTGTATTTTTAATTATTATTATTTTTTATATTTATGTTCTAAAATAATTTTTCACGTCTAACTTAAAGTGTTAAATACCAACTCTCACTTTTTGAGGCCAGCTATCCCACCCTTTGAGGTGCCTCCAACGTAGCGAGGAGATTAGTCACTGCTATCGGCGATGGATACTCCAGGGACATACCAAAAAAAATACTAACTTTCACTTAAATAAGATATTTTAGTGTGGAAAGAAAAGAAAAAAATACGTCTAAAAACCGATACTAAATACATAGTATTTTGTAAAAGGTTTTTATAAGTTTTTAGTTTAATCACTGTTATTGTATTTTTAATTATCATTTTTTCATAGTTAAGTGGATAACAAGAATGGGTATCAACATTTATATACTTGATAACAAAGGGTATAAATATCATAGTTGTTAGAGATGTAGGTCCAAGTTCAAATATATTTTAAAATATATTTGTTATAGGACTTAACATATTGTCATCCTACATGTATGTAGTTGTGTATCATGTGTAGATTAGAAAGAGATTGAAGGAGATGTATAAATATTATAATAAATGTTACATATAGTGACATATAAAAAATGTCACTATAATTATAATATATGTAAGTATATATTTATTTAGTATATAGTTACACATAATTTTAATGTTGATTTTAAATGAGATTTAACAACATATTTGTGTGTCACTATAGCTTATACTTACAATTTTTAACAATATACTAACATATATTATATTTATTGTATAGATAAAAATAATTTTTAGTGACACGTATTATGTCACTATAGAATATATGTCACTATATGACAATTTCCTTATAGTGAGAGTGAATAACGCAATTTTTATTCTACGCATTCAAACACGTGTGATGGGATAAAAAACATAACTTTATAGAATTGATAATAATCAATATTATGATGTTTAAGATTTTTCTATCTTTTGATGCACTTTAGAGTTACCCATATATTAAAAATCCTTTTTAATGTTTGTTTTATTTATTCAATACTCCTTCAGTTTTTATTCTAAAATTTAACCTACTTTCTTCTAATAAAAAAAATAATTTATTTTTATTATCTATACTAATATATCTTTTAATAACTATTTTTTATTTTTATTTTTATATAAATTATTTTATCCTTTGTTTATTTATTATAATTTTTTAAGATTATTTTCTTTTATGAATAACTTTTTATTCTTTTTTTTAATATAATGTAAGTATAGGGTGCTTTTTTTATTAGTTATTATTATTGTTATTGCGATTGTTATCTTTTTATTTATCATTGTTATTTGTAATATTCTCGTTAACATTTTAATGATATGTTTTTTCTTTTAAGGCTTGTTTATTATGGTCCAAGTAACTACATCCGCAAGACTTCAGCCCTTCTTGAGTTTTTGTTTTGTTCTCTCCATTATTCTAATTAATCGGGTCATGAAAATTGTGCAAACATATATAATTATATTGCCTCAACCTCAATGAATACTAAAAAGTCACAAAAGAAAAAGAATTAAATGTTTGAAAATCAAAATTTTAAAAGAAGTGAATCAACAATTTAATTCCTGAAATTGTAATAGTAGTTCAAATTGATTTTTAAAATTAATAAGGTGACAAAGTATTGCCTAATATTATTCATCATCAATTAATTTAGTCACTAGGTCATTTAATTTGTGTAATTTTTATATTATATTATATTATATATATATACATATATATATATATATATTATGTAGCATTACTGCAATTTTTCTATTGCACTTTTAATTCCAAAGATACATTTTTTTAATATTATTTATGACTTCTAATTATAATTAAATATGGAATCTAAAGTGTCAATTTTAATTTAATGGATGTAATTGAATATTGAGTTTAACAATAAATTTACATATATTGTAGTGATTAAATACATAATCTATTTTTTCTTAAATTAGTTCATGTAGTTGTGCATCGCACATGTATATGAATATATTAATTAATATAAATTTATTTTGAATATATTACTACCGTATGAATATATTATTATAAGGATGCAAATTCTTAAACTAAAGAAGTCATGATGAAGTTATACTTATAATCAAATTGTTATCATCAATGACAAAATAGGAAGATGAATTTAGAATATATCTTCATAATTTAAAACTATAGTTATTGGTTAAAAGATCAAATAAATTTAGGATGTTTAATGTGCTCATAATATTTTATTTCTTATTATTTCAAAAGTCATGTATATCAAAACCTCTTAAATAAATTTAGAAATGAAGTACACTTATTTTTATGTATTTATTCTTTTTCAATTAAACCACTTAGACATTTAAGTTATAATTATAAACACAAAATTGAAATTTTTACATTTCAGTTTTTCCATGAATAAAAATAAAGCATGTCAAAGATACAACCTAAGTAGGTAGTTCTCTTTAAAAATAATATAAAATGGTAATACAATATCAGCTTCTCACAACCCAACCCATCACTTAATTTATCGAACTTATGTTTCAATTGTTACAATAAATAAAATGTAGGTCATACTGAATAATGGAACATTTCTATCATCTTTTAATTTACAAATGTTTTACCACTTACTACTCACTATTTTTTGTAATCTAAGAAAATAAAATATAAAGGACACAATCAAAACAACAATATGTGAACTTATAAGCTAATGACAAAAAATATTAAAAAAAAATCGCTGATTGAATCAATTTAAGTCAGTGATCAATGACAAAAATATAGATACAACTCATAGAAAAATACTTAAAATTTTAAGACTCTTCAAATTCTTTAAATTTTGCATTCTTGATTTTGCTCCTTTAATAACATATCACCATTTTGACCAAAATATTTATTATGAGAATCAAAAGTTAATTGTTAAAATATTGTTAAATACTATATAAATATGAGAATCAAAGTAGTTTTCAAATTATTACCATATGTCTATCTAACATTCTATACATGTCTTTCCTTCTCAATGAAGCATCACTTGACACATGTGAATGAAGCATTGCTTGACAATCTTCCCTTGGACTCTCCTGTTATCCTCAATGGCAGAGGGTATACAACAAACACAACCCATTATGTGCAACACAATAAACCACCCCTTCCCAAAAATCGTGTTTCAAATCTCATTGAATTTTACCCCTTCAATTATATTCCCAAAATATTATCTTGGCATGTTTACTACTCATAACCACCATTGTTATACAAACATACACATAAAACTAAATTGTAAAAGTAGTAACAATAACCTAGTATTTTGATAACTTCAAGTGTGATCTCATATTATCAATCCATAAAAATTTAATAACCTAATCAAATAATTTACAATCTCAAATTCAACAAGTCAAACCACAAAAATCTTTCAAATAGTATTATTAAAATACATATTTTTTACTCAATTAATCAAATAATTTACAATCTCAAATTCAACAAGTCAAACCACAAAAATCTTTCAAATAGTGTTATTAAAATACATATTTTTTACTCAATGAAATGATTTCTTTCCTATAGTTGCTTTTCATCATTTGTTATCTTTTTCATCTTCTACCACTTATGATCTCACCCACAAATAAACAATCATCTTCTATCGATATTTGGAGTTTAAACAATGACAACTTCAATCAGTTGAAAGTCAATGACATCCCACATACATACATACATACATATATATATATATATATATAT